TGTAGAATCATATTGAAATACTAAGAGTAATTGGTAGAAAGCCTATGACCCCTGGGCTGTGAAGCTAGCAGAACTCAAGGTCAGAGAGAGTCTTCGGTCCTGTTGCTATGACTGAAAAGCAGCTGAGGAACATACTGTATAAATAAAAAGAAAAACTGTAGTTCTGCTTTAAAAAGAAATTGGTTGCATCAGACTAAACATGTGTAAAGGTGTATTAGAGGGGCCTGCATTGCTAAGGGTGCATTTCCATTTTTCCTTTAATTTATATTTTTCATGCTGTTTGACCTTTTGAAAGGCTTATAAGGCCTAATGAAAAAAGATGAAACCACAGATTACTAGATATTAGTTATTGAATAAGCTGAATGAAGCAATGATTGTATATGAGGTCCCTATGGCTATGCCTGCATGTCTGTGTGTGGCCCTTAGAGTTTAGATTTTATGTTCACTGAATTAGGTACACAACTGGGAGAATCAAATTGATTGCTATGAACAAAACATCTGTTCTTTGTTTAAGGCATTTTTATATGCAGGCATAGTTGAGTGAAAATTTAGGAATACACAATTCTGAAGTAGGAAAAAACAGTCAGGACACTTTGTGTGCTGCCTACCAAGACAGCTTGTGTGCTGCACCCTGCCTGCTAAGACATTTATTTTGGAACATGTGGTGAGGGTGTTGGAAAGTTTGCAAAATACTACATAGAATGCACTAAATATAAAATATGTAACTCTGTTCATGTCTGTATTTGCTATGAAATATCCTGCTGCCTTTGATCCTGAACATTATTTTATCTTTAGTGTAGCCATATTCAAAGTATATTATAACTCCCACTGCATTAACCTCTGACACATTTGTTAGAAGCTTATTTCATGTATTCCCTACATTCTGAAATGATATTAGCATTTCCCTGTACTTTATATTTCTTTTTGAATTATGACTCTTATTTAATCCCCTAATGCTTATGGAAGGTTGCATTTCTGTTCCTTATGCATATAGATTTAGTGTTATGTTCATTATATATGACAAACACTGGCTGTTTCTTGATCATTTGATAATTTTCTTAACGGAGCATTATGACCTGCTTTTTTAAAGCTCTGTCTTTGAAAATGTGAAGGGGAGTTGGTACTGCATACTGATAAATTCACCATTATCATCTGTGTGCGGCTGTCAATGTTTTTGTAATCATAAGTAGCCATTGAGCTGACTCCAGGATCCCTTGGTTGTCATTGCCATGTGTACTCATCTACATGTGTTTTTCTCAAGTAAAATTGGGATAAACTTATTTAATTGTCATTAAAGGAGAACTATGAGGTGAGTGCTTTTCACTCACCTCATAGTTCTAGCCGACCTATGACAATGAGACTGTCACAGATCAGCTTAGTAGATCGGGAGGTGAGCAAACACATACCGGCGTTTGCCCACCTCTCGATCCTTTCACGGCTCTCTGCCGGGACAGGGGGGTGGCTGGATTCCCCCCTCCCCGCTCCGATCCGCCAGTGCTGACTGTTGGTAGGTTGAGGGGTAGAGGGTACATCCTTAAGATTGTAAAGATCACTATAATAAGAGCAAAAAGTGTTAGCTATGTGTTCGGGATGCCAAATGATTTGATCATTATTGGGATTTAGCAAATTAGGTATTTTTGCTTTATTACAGCGTTTCTTTAACCAGTTACCTGCTTTACCCCCATTTGAGTAGAAACTAGCCCTAAGTCTAAAATGTTGTTTTTAAATTTATAAACAAAGTCCAGTAGGACCAATCCGAGTTCAGTTCTCAATGTTAATAAGCTGAAAGTATGGGCAATAGTATGAAGGGATTTATTTTTGGTTTCTAAGGAGTGAATCTGCGACAGTATACTGGTAAGGCGTTCAGACCTCTGCTTCTTAGCCATCACTCCCAGTTTCATTAAACACCTCTTATACACTCCTTATGTGCATTCCACAAACAGAAGACATCATCAACGGAAGAATCATTCAACTCAAAAAATTCCTTCAGATTATCGCCTTTTTTTATCAGCTGTTTGTTATGAGGAAGAAGCATCAAAGACACATTAATGCACCACATAAAAACATCAGAAGAAGGAATTCAGTGTGACACATCTAAAGTAACAGGAGTGTGGTCAGACCACCTGATATCAAATATGGAGGATCCAGATATTTTCAAAAGGAGACATTTGTCAACTAAAAATAAGTAGAATAAAGTGTAATATTTCTCTGAGGCATGTAGACATTGTCAGGCATCATAATTGTTCTCTCTTTGGAGCATTAGTTGCAGCGAGGAGGAAGGTCTCTTAGAGGAGTCAAGGCAGGAGTCAGCTACCAGGTTAAGTCCCCACATAAGAGAGTATATCCTTGGCGTAGCTTGGAAAATCATTTGTAGACTTTATTCAAAAAGTGAATCTGGTATATATTAGGAGCATATAGTCAGACAATAGTATGTCACAGAGTTGATAGTACACACCAGTATTATGTAGCACCCATTGTGATCACAATAAGAGTCAATAGGGGAAAAAAGTGACTGAGTCTCTAAGCGCTACCATTACTCCAAGAGTTTTGTTAGGAGAGTTGGCCATAAATCATGAATCATATCAGTCATATGTGTTGTGTTATACTCGCAAAACGTGAATAGTGGAGGAAGAGAACTCCCTTCGCTGAAGGACGTCCACTGTAAGACAAAGTCCCGAAGCCAGATCCAGGTATAGGATCCAGTTGTAGAAAAGGACAGTAATCCAATGCTTGACTCATAGAGATGAGAAAATAATAGAACATCAACAAGAAGCCCCAGAGATAAGAAATTTGATGGGTTCCTGAGGGCTTTAGTATCTGGAAGAATGTATTTTATGAGTATCCTAGTGTGTTGAGGCAGGTCAGCAATTAATTGTAGGTGTGCATAACATGTGGGAAGATTGGACGTGTCTCACACATTGCAATGAAATCTGTCTTTTACATAAAAAAATTGAACATGCATCAAAACATCCGTGGGTAACTTCTCCAGCAAATGAGCTGGTTTAGGGAGTCTGTGGATAGAGTCAAAAACAAGACCTGCTTCTAAGAGATCTGGAAGCACTGAGTGGATGAGCTCTTGAGCATATTGTTGCAATTCAGCCTGAGTGATTCGAGTATGTTGCGGGTTTTAAAGTTTTTCCTTCAAGAGCTATTCTTGAGATAAGCAAGTTTAGCTTTCATCCACTCCAGATCATCATTTCTGGTGTTGTGGGAGTCCACAAGATCATTAAATGTATTTGTGAATTCACCCATCTTGTTTTCAATATGAGTGACCCTTTTTCCAATTTGGTGCAATTCACTTAAACTGTATGATTAAGGATTGCATGTCAGTATTGAGAGATCTTCTCAGTGAAATCAACATGTCTTGAGTCAGAGACTGGCTGATTTGTAAAAGGGAAATCATCAATCAACTCTATTAGTTCCCTGGTGTCTTCTAGGGAAGAGTTAACACAGCTCAGCTCTCTCTGGGCCTCTGTAGAAGACGACAGCTTTGGCCTAGATTTCACTCGGCTGCGGTCCGTAGGGGAATCCAGCTGTGGAGAGTAAGTCAGGGAGCCTGGTCCCACCCGAGGAGCAGAGGTGTCGCAGGAGGAATCATCAATGGAGGCAGTAGGTGAAAGGCGCTGAGAGGAGCCCCTGCCATCTTGGCCACGATGCCAGTCTGGCCCAGTAAAACAATTGGTAAGTTTGTGCGGACGGCTGCCCTCTTTCTTCTTCTTGGTCATCACAGGATCCAGTGGAGAGTACAGGCTATTCGTCCGGTGTGTGTAGAGACCTGCAATGCTGGATACACTGCCTCAAGGCTCACAGCTGCACGGAGCTCTATAGACGAATGTCCATTCTGCTCAAGCTCAGGCCACGCCCGCTGGCTTTACTATTTTACAGTAATTATATTTGTATACTTTTGAAATAGTAAACTGTAAGTGAATAATCCTATTGAAATGCAATCCCCATTGGTTTCTTCTGAATGTTGGTGATGTGGCACTGAGAGAGGCACTATCCTTATGTGGTGGTAGTGTTCTTTGTTGCACCCTTACTTGCAGATCTGTGAGACAGTAATGGGGAATAGTTGCTCAGAAACCCCAGAAGTGGCATTATTATCTATTCTTCTGGGCCCTCTGGCAAAGCGGGGCGTGTTAAAAATTGTATTATCTGCAGGTTAAGCTGTTATTCCTCAGCTTTGGAAGATGTCTAATAGTCTTATCACAGACTGAATTCCAGAAGCAAACCACCTTAAGTGGATGAAGGAGATCTCTGCAAAATTGACAGATGGATAGTCTTCTTTCATTAGGATGTGGTGTCCATGGAGGGAATTTATGGATTTAGGGAGATAGAGAGCCCTGCTAGAGCTAATAGATAATCTGGGTCAGATTCCTGTACTTTTTTTTCATTGCATTTTTAATTTGAAATAAAAATGTATTCTTTAAAAAAAAGAAAATGCAATCCTTTGAAGTCTACAAGAAACAAAGTTCAGCACCCAGAGGCATCAGTCAGATCCCATCTTAACATGGTAGCCTTAGTAGAGTGCATACAGATAGGTCGCCATGGCATGCTGAATTCTATACTTTACATTTGTGTCTTTGCACTTTTTATTGAACTGTCAGTATTCGTGTGGGGCTAGAATCAACACTTAAATCTGAAAATTCTTCAGTTACATTTTAAACATGCATTATTAAACATTATATTCCTCATGTATTGTAGAGTCGCTATTTTACATGAAAACATTTGTTTTTCACTTTTAAAAAAATGAGCTTCAGTGGCCGAATTTGTCAATTCCAGTGCAGTATCTATTAAATTAATCACTTTGTTTACTTGCTAGTACTCAAATCCCAGGGTCAGAGGAAAAAGCCCAACCCGTCCCTTTCAGATGTTTGTTATCCCTAATGAAGATATTATATGTAATGGACCACAAAATGTATTTGGATACAACTTCATTAATTTTCTTTTCACACCAGTTTCTCAAGGATTTCACTATGTAGAGAACATAGAGATAAAGAAACATGGCCGAGGTCAGCACTATTGTTTTCTCGGCTGGTGAGATGCACTCCTCCTCCTAAGCATAATGAGGGAAGAACTCCTTATAATAATTACATTGAATGCCATTTTTCTGCCCTTTGGCATGCCACCTCTTGTATACGCCTGTTATCTGTTAATACGAGCATGGGTATACTTTTCAGTACTCCAGAAAAAGTAAACCAATTTATATCCTTTATCTCTAAGTGTATCCTATTTCCATATTTAATTAAGCAAACAAAATCTATATGGGATCTTAGTGGAAAGAGACAAATTTGCGACAGAAGTAATCACCCGTTTGTAGAATGTTTACTGCTCATTTGTATGAGATGAATCAATTAGAAAACTGGCAGAGCCCTCTCGGGAGATGTGTTTTTGTAATCTGCAGTTTTTACCAATCTGTTCTTTTCTACTACATCTCCATGAATGAGCAGTAGAGCAAAGCAATGTACTTTGTGTTTAACATACAGAATAAAGAAACAATTAAGTGGGATAACACTCACTGATTCGTAAAACTTTGCAGTGATAACAACAAGGGTTTTTCTCAAAAATACTACATTAAATTAAAGTGGTATTGTCATCCTTCTACAAGACAATGTGGATATTTTAACTCCTAATCAATTAAAACACTATTTAACTTAAAAAAGTTATATGCAAAATGTTGTCCTTCAAGCAGAGTCCGTAATTATAACTATTAATCAGTCAATCCTCTTGACACCAAACTTTTCATGGCTTTCTGTCTCTTGTGAAAAAAATTATCTTTAGTGTTCGGAGTACAGTATAAAATAAAAGTAAAACAGTGCAAAATTCAGTAACATACAGCATTCAATCAGATTTCAGTTAACTAAAGTTAGATAATCAGTGATTTCTGAGTGGTCTGGAAAGCTGTGTTTGCTCATTGCTCTTTTTAATCTTGAAGCCAACATGCCTCCTGTGCCTACTTCTGATAATTTCTCAAACTTTCATTAAGCAATTCCGACAAACTCAGTGCATGAAACAAAAGGTGAGCAAAGCCGAATGAAGTCCATGGATGATTTCTGGGAAAGCTTTTGGATTTTAATTGACAATAGGGTTTACAAAGATCCTAACTGTTCCTCATTTAGTGGGACACTATTTTTGGACAAAACCCCCCTGTCTTTCTTTCATCCTTAGTTGTCTTTTTTAATATTATGTATAGGCCTATATAAAAATATACTATTTTAACTACCCCTAGCCTAACCTTTCGGCAATACAAGTGGAGTACTATGTGTTGCTAAAAATTGAAGAGGACACCCTTAATTTAATTTTTTTCAGAAATGGCAGTTAACCCATTGACATTGCAATTGTCATCTAATCCTTGAAAACACATATCTTATGTATTGATAATATAATGTCTGTGTTGTTTTTCCTTCCATCAAGTGCTTTATTAGTACTAGGTGTCAGTCATTGTTAATGGAATTGAGCATAACTCCTTTCAACTGAAACACTGGTATTGAAATTTGACTATTGTACATACCGAAGGAGAGCTGACCATTATAGATATAACTGGTCTTTTTCTAGTTCTTGGTATCTGAAAAAAATATGATCTTCCTTAAGGAATAGAAAGGCATAACTCTGTTTGCTGGCATTCCTTTACATTTGTCCTGTTATTTCTTAGAGAAGGAGAGATGCGTTGTTTGAAATTATCCAATGTTACCTGAAACCCCCTTTTTTTCAACTGTTTCATTATATTTTAATTTAATGGTTTATAGAAATAAACAATGTTTTCTACTCTCCCTGTCCAGCAGAAGTCACCATTCCCCTTCCCAATGAATGAAAACCTGTCCAGTACTAGTCCGCTTTCTCGGCTTAGTTTAATAGCAATGGGGAACCTGTGACACTGGTCATTACTTCTCCACCACCGCTTAAATTTTACTATTTCTTTTCCTTATTCAATTGCAAAAAACCCTGTAAAGTTTATTTAAAAATAAAATTATTTCTACATCGGTATCTAAAAAAATCATCTGCTTGTAGATATTGGAAAAAACAGCACACATATTATTATTTTTTCCAGACACTTTGTAATTTAGTATAAAGGTATAATTTAAAAAAATATCCATCAGCATTCAAGACCGTAACTAAGAATTTCTGGTTGGTGGTTATAATCTGAAAGTTTAACCCTAGCAACCTTTTAGGTGGCTTAGCTAAAATGACTTGCATTCATTTATTTAATTAAAAGGATGAACTGGATTCCACAGAGTGAGTCCTTTTGTGCTTTTTTTTTCCTTTTCCAAACACAAGACATGGTAATTATTCCCCTGTGACACTTTCAGTAATATCACTGGGAGCTGAGAATTCCTTAACATTATACATTAAGGACTCTTATGTAAAACTCTGAATCTTGTTTCCCTTTAATTAGATAAGAGATTTATCAGAAATAGCAGGCTGTGTCCAAGTATACATGGATGTTATTAACAGTCAAGTGCTTGTGTGATGTTAAAAAGGGCTACAGTTTTTTTTTTTTAATGGTCTGTGACCACTAAGAATTATGAACTTTCAAGTGCCTTATTTTTGTGCATTACAGTCCATCTAACGCCTAGTCTATTTTTTAGACAAGTCGGCATGTTAAATATCTTAAAAGAAATTAACTTTACCTTATTAATGTCTTGTGCACCCTGCTAGATAGTGCTGGAGGGGTTGGGAGGGACTGAGCAGGGCCTTTACATAGTTTTTCTAAGTTTATGCAAATAGAGCAATGTACTGTCAGTATAAAGGGCTTTGGGTGGAGCTAGGTGAGGCTTTATACCTCTGTGAGCATCAATGGTGCCAGTACCTAAGCAGCTACAGCAGCACCAAGACTAACAGGTTTGTAGTTATTTCACTGCAGAAGGGTAGAGCTTTGTCACTCTGTCAAAGGACTGTGAAAAGAGAGAGCACAATTGTACTGTTGAGAAGCCCAATTTACAGATGTGACTTTATAATTTGACCACGGTGCTACTATAACTGTATTTTTCAAATATCTGTTTTTTCACAACAGGAAATAAATGAACACATTTTTGTGAGACAGACATTTCAAAGCTATAGTTTTATTATTTTAGGGAGGTGGGGTTTTTGCACACAAAAACATAACATTATGTATGCAAAATTTAAATTCTCTTAAAACTATATAATGGTATGCCAAAATAGACCTTGTAGATCAAGCATCTGAAAGAAAGCAGATCAGTGTTGTCCCTCCTCTTTTGGAATATTCCATTCTCTTTTACCTATTTTGGAAAAGGTAGCTCACATTTGAATGGTTTCTAGGGACTGTACATAAAGATTTGGCTCAGGAAAGCTAAGGTGATTATAAAGTATATTTCCACATTATTATTTTCTCATGTAAATATGGGGTTGACATTATGAAGAGTATGTTCATCATTCCTATATGCTTCTTACGCATTCTAGTCTAAAGCCTAACACCATATTTATTTAGCTTTAAATAGAGTAGGAAGAATTAAAAATGTATCTCAGGTTTTATTTCTGTCTTTGACTCCACTGGGAGAAATTTCCTTTACTTCATATCCTGACAGGAAGGGATTTTGTTGCTTTCTTCTGTTTGACTTTTTTGTTCCTGCGATTTTATTCTCATGATTCGGCCTCCCACCCAACCACTGGGAGGAATAGCATGGGGCCCACCCACAGATGTGGGGTCAGTCAGGATTCTTCTTTTTTTTGCTCTTCACAGCACACATGTTGGGGATCTTTATACAGGTTGCAAATGGAGCAATGGGACACCTATTTGCAACCTTTTTCTTACTCCTACACTGCTCAAGAAAATTCAGATTGATTCTCATTTTCTATGGGAACCCAGTACTGGTAACCCTCCATGGTTTGGACCCGCCCAATCCTCCTATAATCTTGCATTGTCCTGCCTATTTATTTACGGATCACACTTTTCAATCCCTTCTTAAATCTTGGTGGCATGAATATGCATCTGACAATATAATGCATTTAAATGACTACACTCTTTTCTGGGAAGCCGCAAAAGGCATCCTCCTTGAGCAAGACCAGTCACATCTCTGCCCTGATGAAGGGACCCGAAACGTTGGATTGGATTATGCGATGTGTGTCGTTTAGTCCAAATAAATGGACATTTTTTTAACTTACTGAGTGCTGGTGATTTCTATCCTTCACCTCCTAGGGCAAGATTCTAGCGTATGTGACTTCCCAGAAAAGATTACCTGAACGGAGATACGCTGAAGCTTGTATGGCAGCTAGGGAGGCTTACCTAAATTATTTGTTCACTCCCTCAATGCAAAATAGATCTCATTAGCTAAAAACTAAACAAACATATGATCATTGGATTCAACAATATGATCTTCAGAAAAGGTAACAGATGGAAGTAAAATTCTTAAAATTTGGCAATAAAGCAGGGAAACGTTTAGTCAACTTGGCCCGTTGGCAAACACCCAACTCCCATATCCTGAGATTAGCAGACTCCCAGGGCACAATTCATTCTAACCCAACTATTATATGTACTCTATTTAGTGATTTGTGGCTGACCCTGGTGACCTCACTACTGGTAAGACATTCTTAGACTCTGTATCTCCACCTTCCCTTTCACCCTAGGACTTAGTTTCTAAATGCTGACATCACTACTGAGGAGTTGTAAAATGTAATTTGTTATTCCCCCAGCTCTAAAGTGCCAGGCCCTGATGCATTAACTACAGAATTCTGTAAACTTCTCTCTGCTGAAGTCTCTCCTTCCCTATTATCCTTATTTAACTTTATCTTACACAATCAAAAATACCAACCACTTGTATTGATTCCTATATTAGATTGCTACCCAAAAAAGGTAAAGACCCACTTCTGACCAGTTCATATCACCCAATATCTCTACTAAACCAGGATGCAAAATTAATATCAAAGATTTTAGCGGACAGACTGGCTGCCATAATACCGAAGCTTATTTCCACCGACTGGCCTTATTTCTGGCTGATCTGCAGTTATGAATGTATGAAAGATAATGTCTGCTTTGCAACATCTGAGGCTGCCTGAACCTTCTTAGTGTCCTTCAGCTCTTT